CTCTGCACTTTCCTTTAAACGTAGTCTCTAGGGCCTCTCCTTGTATAGGAGGTATTCTCTCTACTCGCTGCTCCTTTGTATATGCCATTGCTTTAAAGATATACTGTGGGTCTTCTCTCTCTAGAAAATCGTTCCAGTGTTTCTTTTTTGCCTCTTTAATGGCCCTTTGGTAGGTGTTTCGCGCTGCTAGAAAGTCCTTCTTATATAGGTAAGCTTCTTGCATAGAAGTCTCTTTTAGCTTTTGCGAGAATATCCTTTGGTAATAGGACACGTCTCTTCTTAGCTTAGTAAGCTCCTGGCTCCACCATAGCTTAGGCTTTGGTCCTTGCCTTAGCTGTGGGATAGCTTTATCTGCAGCTTGTTGTATTACTAGAGTAATTGCTTCTCTAATTGCTTCTAGTTGCAGCTTTAGCTGTTGGTCTTAGCCTAGGAGTAGATTTCTTAAGTCTGCTTTCCTTGGGTTATTGATCTAGTCTAGGCTCTATAGTATTGCGTTGCCTTAGATTGCTGTTGCTAGTTCTTCTTAAAATAGTAGCTAGTTAGCCCTTTTTGTGTTGTACTTTTACTAGGCTGCTAGGTTGTCTACTAGTTCTGTTGTTGTTTGGATAGAGAAGAGCAGCCCGTAGTGGTCTGAGCCAGTTTCTGTAGTAACTTGCCAGTCTTTAACTTTGTTGGCTATGTCTGGCGTGGCAAGTGATAGGTCTAATACTAGCTCTCTTGATAGGTGCGGCCTAAAGAAGGTCCCAGCACCTAGGGTGTTGAGTAGGCTTAGGTTTTGGTCCTCTATCCAGTCGGCTAGCTCTTGAGCGCCTTAGCTAGTGGTTAGGCATAGCGGATCCCACTAGGGGTGATGCTCGTTAGCGTCAATAGCTAGTATTGTTGCTACTAGTAGCCTAGTGCTTAGGAGGACTCTTAAGAACGTCTTAGTCCCTAGTAGACCTTTTTCGTTGTACACGTTTACAATATTAAACTTAAAGCTCTGCCCTTTAACAACTACTGCTATAGCGTCTAGGTCAGCTGCTAGTCCCTCTAGTAGAGATTTCTCTGCCTTTGCTGTTCTAGATATATAAAATAGAACCCTTAGGCGGAGACTGTTATCTGCTAGTGGGAGCAGCTGGGTAAATGCTTGGTGGGCAACTAACCTAGCTGCTAAGTAGTTGTTGTTGCTTAATGGGGCAATCCATGGCTCTTGGACTGCAATAATATCAACTTTAAGCTCGACTGCTAGTTGTAGCGTTAACTCTGTAGCGTGTAGGCTCTTGTTTAGGTTCACTTGTAGAATCTTAATGTTCTCTAACATAGAGATAGCTGCTAAGGGCCTCTCTTTGTTACAGCTAGAAAGATCTCGCAGTCTTTGCTATTAGCGAAGTGGGGCTTTTTGCAGTTGTAGCACTTAGGGAGAGTGTGTCTGCATAGCTTTCCTTTTATGCTATAGCTTAAGCAGTTGTGCTAAGCAGTTGTGTGGCTTTCTACGCACAGCTGGCATGCTGCTTAGTTTTAGCACCTGCTTACGTTGTGGCCAAAGGCTTAGCAGTTAGAGCACTGCGTTGTAGGTGGCGTGGACCTGTATTTCTTAGTTTAGAGAGACTGGCCTAGGATTGTGATCCTACTGCCTATCTTCTTAGCTTCCTCTTCTGTCTTAAAGGCAACTACTATAGAGCTAGTCTGCTTGCTCTTCTAGTTCTTTGTTAACCAGTAGGGGTTGCCAACAATAGTTTGTCCTTTGTTGTAGGTTGGGATCTCGTTGTGGAGGACCTGGAGCGATTCGGCTCCTTCGAACGTTGTTGGCACTCCATGGACTACTACCTTAGTCCAGGCTTTAATTGGTTGGGCCTTTTTGACTTGGAGTTGGTTTTGCTAGGTGTTAATTTACTATAGTAGAAATTCGCTAGAGTATCCTTTAGTTATTATAGTAATCAGGTTGTTCTTTCTGCTAACCAACACCTCTTTAACAACAGGGGCTATTATGCCTGCCTTCTAGAAAGCTTGATTGATTTTATTCCTAACTATTAGCGGGCTAGTTGACTGGCCTTCCTCTAGCGTTAGAAGCATCTGGTAGTGAGCGGCTGGCTTCTTTAGGTTGGCTTTCTTCCTTGGCTGTGCTGTTATCTAGGGCTGGCTTGTTGTGTTCTTAGCTGCGATTGTAGCGTATGAGGCCTGGGGCTTTTGAGTTGGTTGGAAGGAGTAGGAG